CCTATAAATTGGGAGGATTAGCAGACATCAGTTGAACCAGTAATAAACCATCAACATGCAGATGGTTCAATGCTAATTGTTTTCTTTCTAGCTAGTAAAGAAAGTGCCCAAACACATTCCTTGCACAGCCTTTCCTACAAGCGAAATAGAATTAAGCACTTACAAGATTGCTAGCAAAGTAGAACAGATGACTCCAATGGCTGGATGTTTCAGAAGTGGCTGGGAACCAGATCTCCATGTGCTTTTTTAACCGTTTATACTCCCAGTATTGCACCAATTATTATTAATAATTTTATGCCAAAACCTGGCAAAACCATTGGCTAGTAACATTATTAAAAGGTAAAGGTACCCCCTGCCCGTACGGGCCAGTCTTGACAGACTCTAGGGTTGTGCGCTCATCTCACTCTAGAGGCCGGGAGCCAGCGCTGTCCGCAGACACTTCCGGGTCACGTGGCCAGCGTGACAAGCTGCATCTGGCGAGCCAGCGCAGCACATGGAAACGCCGTTTACCTTCCTGCCAGTAAGCGGTCCCTATTTATCTACTTGCACCCGGGGTGCTTTCGAACTGCTAGGTTGGCAGGCGCTGGGACTGAGCGACGGGAGTGCACCCCGCCGTGGGGATTCGAACCGCCGACCTTTCGATCAGCAAGTCCTAGGCGCTGAGGCTTTTACCCACAGCGCCACCCGCGTCCCTAGTAACATTATTACCCTTGTCCCAAATGACAACAGATTGTTTCAGGAGGTTTTCAGCACTACATCCTGTTTTCGCTGACTTGTCTTAACCACAAAGCCACCTGAAACTTGTTGACATCACCTTTGTAATTGCAGGATGCTCTCCCACTCTTTGAACCTGTCCTGTTTTCTGTTCCACTAACGTGACAGTTAAAATGTTCCTGAAAGCCTCTCTTATGTCAGGCATCCTGAATTAGCATATACAGAGGTTTAATACTCTAGAATAGCCCCTATATTCATGTAGCAAAAAGGGACACCCTGCCGCTGCTGCTTTGTATTTTTTTAAAAAAATAATATTTATTATTTTTCCAGAAACTTAAACACTAAAAAAAAGACAATGCAAAACATTAAATTAACAAAACAAAACAAAAACAATAAAATAAATCAAACAGTTTCATTATCCCATCTTTATCTCACTTATTTCCGCGACCTCCTCACACCTCCCTCTTTGTATTCCACTTCTGATAATTATTTCAGCAATTCCTTTCCATCTTCCTCTGCTTTCTATCCTTTAATTATCTTAACAAATTCTAACCTTATTTTTTCCTTTAATGCTCTATTAACCTATCTATACTTAATTCCTTATAACATTTCTACTAAAGCCATATAACTTCATTCCAACATTTTTCTAACATTCATTAATTTTACAATATTTCTGTAAATAGTCTTTAAATTTTTTCCAATCTTCTTCCACCGACTCTTCTCCCTGGTCTCGGATTCTGCCAGTCATTTCCGCCAGTTCCATATAGTCCATCAACTTCATCTGCCATTCTTCCAGAGTGGGTAAATCTTGTGTCTTCCACATGCCGCTGCTGCTTTGCCACCCCATTGCCACCATAGCCTCCCTTACCTGGATTGCAGCAGCAGTGACAACAGCGGTTTTGTCTCAGGGCCAGCGCAGCACATGGTGCCACATGAGGAAGGCAGACCACCTCACCTCTTCTTACTCCAGCTGTTAATGGTAGCAGCCCTGGCAGGCTCAGCACCATGTTTTGAGGAAGGGTCAGGATAGGATAGAGGGAGGGAAGCAGTGGCAGTATTGCAAGAGGGACCATAGCAATGGGAGGGGTGGCAGCACTGGGGTCTGTAGAAATGGAAATGCAAAACCCTCCCTTTCTCAATTTGCCACCTGATCCGCATGGCTCAAGGTGACTCATGGTTGGAACAGCTCCCTACTTCACCTGATCCTGAATAGTTCAATTGGGAGGAAAAACAAATAAATTTTCTTTCTCCCAAACTTCCAGCTAATGCGTGTGTTACTTTAAATCACATGAGGGCACTCTTTGTCTAGTAACCTAGCCAGCTCTTGCTGGTAGCCATTGTCTGCAGCCCTAAAACCTGGCCCATTTTGTTGTTCTCTCCCAATTTGTCGAGATAAGGTGTCTACTATTTTCTCTTTCATCTCCAGTCATCCTGTAAATGGCTCCTGCCAAGATAGTGAAACAGACTCCCATGACAGGTGATGGACTATCCTTCACTGAAGGTTTTTAAGCAGAGGTTGGATGGCCATCTGTCAAGTATGATATAGTTGAGATTGCTGCATTGAAGGGGGTTGGACTAAATGACCCTCAAGGTGCCTTCCAACCAGTCTGATTCTATGCTCTTGCATGAATAAAGCCCCTGAACTCTAAAAATTGTAATTGATCATTTCAAGCTCACTCACCCAAGCTGCAAGCTCTCCTAACAGGTATTCCCTTAATATGAAGTAATTTTGGAAAGCCTTAACAGTTTGTACAATAGTGTTTATAAAGTACAACTGGGGCCTTAGATTGGTTTCATGTTGATGCCAATGGCATGCCGATGGAGGCAGATGTATGAACAGCCCCATGTGAAAAACCATGGTGAATTGTAATGGCCAGTTTTTATTTTGAAAAATTCAGACACTATTTCACAGTGTTTCCTGCCTTTCACTTGGCACACTTGTTGTAGCCATTTCATTAGGCTTGTCCAGTTTCTTTGTCTTTTATCACACTCAAGGGAAAACAGAGGTTTATGTAACTCCAGACCTGCCAATCTGGAAAAATGCCCAGTGGTATTCCTTTCCTAGTAGCTAAAGTTTCCAAAAAAGAAAAAAGAAAGGGAACTCAAGGTTGTAAAAAGGTAGGATTTCACTTCAGAATCCAGTTCCTAAATCTGCAGGAGAATAAGGTTTCTTTTGTAGTATTATATTTCTTCCTTTATTATAGATTATCTTTCACATTTTTGGATTAGATCTTATACAATGAGACCTGCAGCAAGATTTAACAACATGGGAGTCCTTCTGTTGACTTTGCCATCCATTAATGGCAAAGTGAACATATACAGGCAGAAAATTGGGGTATAGATTTTAAAATCCTTATATACATTTTGGTCAACATAACCAATAAGATGATTTCTTCTTCCATTATAACTAAAACAAATGGCACTTTTGATTGCCCCTCATATAGTTAACCTAAGAGAGGATAGGGAGGTTGTAACAACAATAATTTTGACCAGACATTTTTATCAATCAATGTTTAGGGATCTATCCATCTGTTTGGTTCACCTTTTCAGTTGTATAGTGTGTTTTTACTTAAGTTTTAAACTGCTGTAGATTAAGCCAAAAATCATTAAACTCATTTCCTTGTTGTTGTTTTTTTAAAAAAAGCTTCATCTGATGAGGATATCAATTCTCTCCTGCTGACAACACAATCAGCTGCTTGCTTGTCCAGCATGACTTGTAAATGAAATATTATTCTTTTCCTGTTTGCTTTTTCTTTCACACTTCAGATTCCTCTCAAAGGTCAAAACAGCCATTTCTACTTCGTTGTTCTCTGTTCAGCTTCTACAAAAGCTTCTCTCAAGATCCATGGAATGGGGAATATAAATCAAATGATGTTTCTCCACTTATAGCTAGATTACATAATTTATTTGAAATTTCACCAACATTTGCCAATTGTTTTAACTACTATTTCACTTTACAGTGGTACCTCCGGTTACATACACTTCAGGTTACAGACGCTTCAGGTTACAGACTCCACTAACCAAGAAATAGTACCTCGGGTTAAGAACTTTGCTTCAGGATGAGAACAGAAATCATGCGGCAGCAGCGCGGCGGCAGCAGGAGGTCCCATTAGCTAAAGTGGTGCTTCAGGTTAAGACAGTTTCAGGTTAAGAATGGACCTTTGGAATGAATTAAGTTCTTAACCCGAGGTACCACTGTATTTGGAATCCATATCAATTTGATAAAGAGAAGAAACTGGGGTGTGGGGTCTTTTGGAACCTATACATGTATTAAACCCAGAAAAGTTTGTTTTTGATGCCAATGTGCTCAAGTAGCCTTTTGTGGCAGCGTTGATTAGGGAGGAAGGAGAGAGAGATATCAAATTTTTCTTTGCTGATTTCCTACTAAGGCTTTGGGTGCACATCAACACTGGCATATGAATGAAGCTCTGTAAGTCATTCTCCTTCATGTACATGGTTCCTTTGCAAGAAACGGGTATGACAGGTACCTACACACCAAGGGGCTTACAATCTAAAGCCAGCAGAAGACATGGCCAGGTGTAGTAGACAGGGGAAGTACGTATAAGTGTTTACTATTTAAATTACACATACTTTAACTTAGCTACAATGGGAGGAACTCAACACAGCTTTGCACAGATCACTCCAACAGTACAAGCATTGTTGCTTGCCTGATAGAACCAACTGCCCTCTGCTCCCCCCACATCCATTATTCTGCTTATCCCCCTACCCTGAACCAATTAGGTGGGTGCAAGGGGGCACATAGGGTGGGGAGAGGGGGAAGATGATGGGAGAGAGACCCATTGCATTAGCAGGAGTCCCTCTGTGGGATTCCGCTGGCAGGACCTGAATAAGATACAGTAGTACCTCCGGTTACGAACTTAATTGGTTCTGGAGGTCCGTTCGTAACTGGAAACTGCTCGTAACATGAGGTGCACTTTCGCTAATGGTGCCTCCCGCTGCTGCCACACCACCAGAGCTCGACTTCCGCTCGCATCCCAGGGCAAAGTTTGCAACAAGGGGCATCTACTTCCAGGTTAGCGGAGCGTGTAACCTGAAGCATTCATAAGGGGGATGGTACGTAACACAAGGTGCCACTGTATAGGGTGCCTGGGGGCATCAGGGGAGAAACTCTGCATGCTGCCACCTTTCCTTGTACATTTCCTGCACATAGTCTGCACATGCACTCACTGTACTTCTAATCCCTTGCTGGATTGTTTTTACAGTGTTTTGTGGAATTTCTGACAGTTTAAGAGTTAGCGTTTATATACAGCCACTTAACTGACTCATTTTTACAAAAGAGTTTTACTTATTTTATTAAGAAATTATCAGAGCAATCTTGTACATGACTAGTCAAAAGTAAACCCATTAAGTTAAATGAGCCTACTCCTCAGTAAGCCAGTATACAATTACAAAATTTAATCTTCTACACTAAAAGTGCCGTTCTTTGGCTTCTGGTTTTGGTTCCAGTTCCCCTTAATGGAGGCAGCTCCCACGACAACAGGAGATCATTGGCAAAGGAAAAACAAGGATGATTGAGGGTAATTATCCTTTCAAGTTCCTCCCAGGTCCGTCTCGGTACCTAGCTCTTGCTCCAGCATGGAATGTGGGAGGCAGGGAGGGGCTGAGTGAAAAAGCACTTTGCCTTCTGAAAACCCTCCAACGTCACCATTAAGCAGCAGAGGTTCTCCTGTTATTTAGAGCTTAATTTGGACTGAAGTACAGGCGTGTGCTAGAAGAAATGAGATCATAAACTGTGGAACTGAACCAGCTGCAAGGTCGTTAAGGTTTGAACTTGAGAGAAGACTTCATTTGGTGCAAAAGACTGTGTGGGGGAGGGGAGCCTACTGTTTCTTAAAGTTTTCTTCTCTACATTTATGATTTGGCAACCCTCCTTTGAATGTTAGTTTGAATCATATGTACAAGCGAGAAGGGATGAAACTGGATTATAGATATGGAATATAACAATAAACGGCACTGTGTAAAAATATCGTTCTGTTGTCAAAATATTTTTGTTTCCAGCATATCTGCATGAGATAATTTCTCTTTCATACACACATGCCCACAGAGACGTACAGAAATCACAGGTCTTTAATAATCCTTGTATCATGAGTTTTAAGGCATCAAATAAATATCCTGGAAGTCTCCAGAGACCATTACCCATTTTGCTCCTTAATGCTCATCAAAACCAGTGACTTTACATTTTGTAGTACAGGTAGACTTTAAAGACATTTATGCATCCTTTATAATATTGTCTGCTTGCACTTTGGTCCTTAATGAAATAAAAGTTCCATTCACATTATACCTACAGAATACAAAAAGAGAAAACACTGTCCCCTGACTTAACCTCTGAAGGAGCTTGAAGAACTGAAGTTGCACATATATTGCGATTGTACAGGTTTAGATAATCAGCCTCTTATTTCCCTTCCCATAATGCTCAATATATACACAGATTTCTGACAAGCCTGGAACAACTATACTACACTGGGCAACATGATGGAAGGTTCTGGATTGTTTGAATGTACAGCGATGACACAGCTACTGGGCTCAGGGCCATGTTGGTGGTCCCACCTGCAGGTGTCCATCATTGGCAAAGGGTCTACATCAAGAATGCCTCTGCTTCTTATGCATAGCCTCCTTCAAGAAAGGCAGTCCATGCAAACTGGATGGTGGAGTCTGGCGGTGGAGTCAGAAGCATGCCTAATGCTGAAGGGGGCAGGCTCTACACAGTCCTAATTCTGGTACTCAGGTGAAGGATGCTGTTGTCACTTAAATCTCAACTATGGCTTGATTGTGTCAGTGTCCATGTGAGTTTGAACACCCTGAAGATTTGATGGAGGCTGATAACCTTACTTGTTCAGGTTTAGTGATAATTTTCTTACTACAAAATCCTTGGGAACATCAAAAGACAGACAAAATGTAACCAGTATCAGCCCAATTTTCAGAGTGGGCATTTGTGCAACAGGTTAAAAGATTAATTTCAGGATTCAGAAATATGTAGCTACACATCCAAGAAATGGGAGATAATTGCCTTAAAAAAATATTTTAGAAATGTCTCGGTTCTTTTGTTTTTCTTAATACAGAGATTTGTGGTAATTTTACAATTCTTTGGTGAGGTCATAAATCAGTAACATAACCATAATTACCAGAACTTATTGCCTTGGCTGTCCAGCACTTATGTAAAGCATACCTCTATTGCCAGGCAGACGAACTCAGGACCCTGGAATTACTACATGAAAAGATTTGAAAACAATACTATTGGTTAAAATATCACAACTAAAAAAATCTAAAGGCAGGGGCTGTTATTTGATGTCTAGTTTCCAAGCCCTTCAATTATTATCTGAACATATAAAATGATTTCTCCAAGCATTTTTTCTCTAAAAAGAAAAGGGCGATTCTTGAGATTCTAAGAGCAGCATTTGGGTCTACACAAAATTTTCTGAGCGGCTAAAATGTTGCCATCTTGACTCAATTTGTGCAAACCTGCTCTGGGTTAAAGGGGGTGAAGAGATAACATACTATCAGTAGAATTCTAAATACAAACAGTATACCTGCTATATCTTTTCTTCATGGCTGGTATGGATTAGGTCTGTTGCTGCACTGCTTTCATAACACAACAATCAGTTGAAGCCTTGAGTAACTTCTACAGTGAGTGCTGAGCCTCATATACAAAAAAGCATCTCATATATACTTAAGACTCACAGCTGAAAGTTAAGGTCAAGTTACTGTAGCCAAGAGGCCCAAACTGGTAAAACTGATTATAACTGCATACAGCAACATGGGTTCAGACTGTACTTGTATGACATCAGCATCATTTCATACATTCATTACTAAAAAGGCATTTTAAAGCACTATTTTTACATATACAGTATCTAGAAAGACCATAATCAGAAGCCAAGTAGTTATGATTCCATTGTCTGCATCTTCCTGAAGTTTTCCAGTGTGTCAGATTTCCAATAGGTTTCTTTCATCTAAACAGAACAGAACACATATAACTATATATAGAAGTACCAAACGATCTAAGATGGGGTTATGTTATTAATTATTATATTATTCTGTATTTTGTGCTGTTATTTTGTATTTTTATCACTCTGAAATCTACAGGTGAAGGACAGCATACAAATTTAAATACTGGTTAATGCTCATCACTTTTTAAATAGTATCGCCAGCCAAGATTATGCAGTCATGGTATTCCTGCCCAGAATTTTGGTGTGATACACTAAGATGAGTGGTCTATCACCATCTACGCCCCTTGTTCCTGCAGTCTTAAGCAAGCGCCAGAGCCAGAAGCATTATAGAACTTTGGTTGGCCACAATGCATGGCTGGTGAACTGTGTCAGTTTGATAGGTCTGAAGCTGTGTAGGCCTCCAGTAAGGGGACAATTCACCAGCCCCACAGCAGCAGTGCTCTTGCACAGCCCCCATTCATTTCTTTGGTAGCTACCTGAGCCTCATGGTGACTTCTCTTAAAACTTCCCGTTTCTAGGACATACTGTAAACAATCTTTTGCAATAATATAGTATCAATCCTTTCCCTCTCCTTCTTTGAAAGCATTTTCTACTCATTTCAGTGAAGGTGGGCGAAGTTGTACATTTGGGAATTGCAAGGCTGCCCTGAAACAAGACAGCAGTACTTATTGCTCAAATTCGTGATAGTCCCCAAAGCTTTGAAGTGGACTTTGAACTTACCGTCCTTCCACAAAGAATTTAAACCTTTCTTTGCCTGGTACTATTTTCCACACCATTGCTGTCTTCCGTTTTCCTGTACAAAAGAAGTGACATTAATGTAAGCCTGTAAACATGGCGAATCATTGTTCTACCTATGTTTCGAGCTGCCCTTTTCTCGGGATAGACTTTTCTGTTGTCACCTTTCACATGGGTAACCTTCACTACCAACCAGAGAAAAGCACGCCGCCCAGGAAGAATACCATAACAAGGGGAAGACCAACCTGGTTCCACCCATTAGCCAGTGAATGTACAGCTCCCATATTTGTTTTCCTCTTCCCCTCTCTATTTATTCATTAGTTTTTTTGAAACACATCTATTAGGGAGCATGAGCTTGCAGTCAATTCTATATACCAATTGTGCTGTATGAAGAAGTTCTTGTCAGGAAAAAAAGACTAGTTTAGTAGCATGTAGGGAACCTCTGGCCTTCCAGAGGTTGCCAAGCTACACCTTCTATCCTCCTTGGCCATTGGCTATGCTTGCTAGTACTGATGGGAGTTATAGTACCATCTAGGAGGAAACACACCCAATGTAGGTATCTTCCCCTGGTATCTCCAACTAAAAATATCAGCTAGGAAATGATGGTATGCTGTACTGGAGACTCTGGGAAGCCACTAGATGAACAAATAATCTGAGCAGATATAAGTCACCTTCCTATGTTCTGTCTCCACTGTTGCAGGCACTCTGCCTTTGAATGTTGGTTGTTGAGAATTACAGGTGGGGAGAATTCTGCTGCACTTAAGTTCTGCTTTGTGGGCTTCCTATGGACATCTAGAGACAACTATGAGAGCAGATTGCAACTATGAGAGCAGACCTTTGGCATGATCCAGGAGAGCCCTTCTTATGTACAGACTTTTTGCATGGAAATTTGAGAGTGACTGTCATGGTGGGGTGGGGTGGACTAAATAATTTGGAATTCCTACATTTAATTACAAACTGGCATCAATTAAGAACAGAATTTTCTCTTCTTGAAAATGCCACTATTAATGGGTGCAATCCAACACCTACCGAGCTCAATAGCCAAGGCTGCTTAAATTGTCACCACACACTACTTAAGCATTCATATAAGAATGCAGAATAAAATTGCTACTTACAGGGTCTCCGTCTGTTCAAATTCTTTTTCAACTTCTTCTGTGAGACAAAGAAAATCCAGTGATTATTTCACATATCCATCGTTGCATTAACAGGAGCATAAGAACAGGTGTGCTAGGTTAAATCAGCAGGACAGCGCATTAAGGTCTAAGTGGTTCTCACTGGCACAATGTAAACATACTGGGAGTCACAGCCACAGCTGAGGCAGAGCAAAACTTACTGATCATTCAGCAATTACCGAATGCTAATTATTTTGTCCACTTTGGAAAATGCCCAGATATGCACAAGGCGAATCCTACAAATAGAGGAAGATAATATTTGCCTACATAATGCCGTGACTTATCTAAAGTGGGAAAACATGTCCTCTAATAGGGGTCCCCACCTGAATAAAATATTGAGAGGGCACGTAAGCCCTGCTCCATATAATCGATCACATGACATGACACTCACACACCATTTGAATGGCAATGCCCAGCAAATGGGAGAGGGGACGAGCGAAAGGACCTTGGCTCCTATGTCCTCTAAGCACTAGAAAATACCATCCAATTTGATTTATGTCATTTCTTTCTCTAGGGCAAGCTTGGCTAACCTGCGGCCCCTTTTCAGATCATCTTACATTGCAGATTACTGGTTAACCCAGCCTTTCCTAATGTGGTGTCTTCCAGAGGTTTTATACTACAAGTCCCATTATCTCCAGTCAGCATGGCCTATTATCAGCGATGATGCAAGCTGTAGTCCAGTAACATCTGGCACCACATTGGGGTATATTGGGTTTTACTGAAGAATTATAGCGAACCCTGGAAATCCAATTTGTGTAGTGTAGGCGTGTGTGGCAAAAGTGTGCTCCTTACCAACTTGAAATTCTTTCTTTTTGGTGCACGCTTCATAGGCAAAAATAACAGCAACAAAAAGGACAACTTCAGCGGCTATTGCAAGAAATGGCTTGAGGGGTGTCATATAGGTGAGAACTTTGAGAGACACTTCGCCTTTTCTTGCACCTAGAGGAAACACAGCTTCACACGAGTAAACCCCAGTATCTTCCTCAGAGAGACCCATGATCTTCAGTTTTGTTATGTTGGCATGTTCTTGGGTAATGATGTACTTTTCTGGCATCAGAGTAGTATTAATAGCCACCTGGTGCAAAAACAAGTTCACAAGCTTTAGCAGGGTGACACAAAATGGACTCATGTTAGCATTGGAAGTTCAGAATGTAGGAATTTAAATACAGTATGGGAATGGAATACTCCTAACAGGGAAACTAAATATGCAATGGAAAAGCAGAAAGGGAAGAGGAAATGCCGCAATTCACAAGTACTTGATTGACAGCCTAGTTTGCGCCAAGGGTTTGAATGCAAGCTAATTTTTTCCTTGGGCAAATGTTGTTCTACCCAGGACACAGTCTACTACTTAGTCCACAAATTTAAACCTTGGGGACTATAGAGTCTAGTAAAAGTGGTAGGCAGTGCTTTTTTTCTGGGGGCACTCAAGGGTTTGCATTACCAACACCTTTTTCCCCCTAGAAGAAAAGCACTGGTGGTAGGAATCTGTTAAGGTACCTCAATAAACCTACAATGCCCAAAGTTCTTTAGGGCAGGGTTCTCAGAAACTTCCTATCCCCAGGACCGAGCAATGAAATTATAGGGCAGCCCACCAGTCACAAAATGGCAGCATAAACAGTTTCCCATTACCAGCATCACATGATTTCAATTCACCAATCAAAGGATCACAGCAATCTTAATAGATGGAATCCAATGACATTATCCTGAACCAATCAAAATCTTTTTGCTCTTCAGATCATGCCATATCACGTGAGTACGTATAATCATTTTTCAGTGTCTTTCTTTACTAAGACTTTGACTCATTTCCCTATTCATTAAATGCCTCCCAATATCCTCTTTCATCTGTCTACAAAACAATTCAAGATTAATCACAATTGCCATGCCTAGTCGGCCCTCTTTTCATGCATACATTGGCCACCATAGATTTTATTCTTTTCAGTGCTCTGTACAGTAAAAGGTAAGCAGCCATAGGCATTTTCAGTTAAGCTAGGGCATAGGCTCAAAAGAAAATGGAATCCTCAAAATAATACGGCTTTATGAAAGTATTTTCTGCATCATGAGTATCCCTGTGTCCAACGCTTATCCTATTTCTAAACTGCATTTGAAGAGAGCTTTCTATAAAAGTACTGAATGACATGTGTTTGTCTTTTATCAAGCAGAACTTCACCTGTTCACTTCCATTCTTTGTATACCAAACCCAGGAAGATGGGTTATATTGGTGGGTTTCACTGCCAACCAAACACGCCAGGACCACAAAATCGCCTACGTAACTGATTATGCGCTCAGATTTTCCATGCGGTTCAGGCACTAAGGAAAAAACAAAACACACTTGTGATACTTCAGACAGCTGTTTGTTTGTTTAAAAAGACCACTTGTGAAAGGATGCATCTAAGGACCTACAACACATATGAATAACTCCATACCCTCCAACATTCCTCTGATGAAAATAGGGGTGTCCTAAGGGAAAGCGGGACATTCTGGGATCAAATCAGAAACTGGGATGTCTTTTGTAAATCCAGAACTGTCCCTGGAAAATAGGGACACTTGGAGAATCTGCTACTTCCTTATCTTTGCTATTGTTACAGAAGGGGCCTCTGCCAATCCTAGACCATGCTAATTTATCTCAGTTGGATGTATGAACCCGAGCAAGGAAAAGATAACCGGCCTCAAAAGAGCCAAATACAAGCAATCCATTCAATGTCCTTCCTGCATTTCCTTTCTTTGTGTAAATAGGGGTTCAGCCAACTGAGAAGCAGAGCGCTGTTAAAACATTGCTTTAATCTCTCCGATAAATTAGAGCTCAGCATATAAAGCACGAAACCAAATGTATCTGATTAGCATCACTGCTTCTCAGTCTGATTAATGTTCGTCAGCAGAGCGTGATCTCTTTTGTCATGCTGCTCTGTTTTAATGAAAGTTTTCCTTCTTAGATAGCACGCACTGTTTCGCTGCTCAGAATAAGCGATGACGACTGGGTCTGCGGAGGCGTCAGCCAAAAGGGGGTGGGGAGGAGAGTGAACATGACATGGACACAGCCTCCCATTGTGTTTTGAAATGGTGCCTTACTGGGGCAGCACAAAGCTTTCAACAGCCATATGCATTACTTCAACTATGAGGCTCACAATGAACTTTTCTTCGGTCTCTGCCCCCTCTGCCCCCATTCCATGCTTTAAAACAGCATTGATATGTTCAATGTTGTTTTTTAAAGAAGTTTGCCTCCACTGATTTTAAAATAAGAAATGAAATACACAGAGCATGTACAGTGGTGCCCCGCAAGACGAATGCCTCGCAAGACGGAAAAACCGCTAGACGAAAGGGTTTTCCGTTTTGAAGTTGCTTCGCAGGACGAATTCCCCTATGGGCTTGCTTCGCAAGACGAAAATACCTTGCGAGCCTAGAGATTTTTTTTTCGCTTTCCCCCCCCTTTATCTAATCTGCTAAGCCTTTAATAGCCTTTAATAGCCTTTTAGCAGCTAATCCCCTAAGCCTTTAGCCTTTAATAGCCGCTAAACAGCTGATAGCGCTAATAGCGCTAATCCGTCAATGGGCTTGCTTCGCAAGACGAAAAAACCGCTAGACGAAGACTCTTGCGGAACGGATTAATTTCGTCTTGCGAGGCACCACTGTATCCTCCACATTTTAAACTCACTAAAATCAAAGCACCGTCTTGACTACAGAATACATACATTCCAAGAGTTTAAAGCCAAAATCTGGGACGCCATCTTCCCAGATGCCACCTTCCCATTTTTTTATCATGACAGCATGCCAGCCATTTTGGTTGTCATAATTTCACACCACAATTCCCCACCCCCAAAGCGCTATTTTTCAAGTACAGTGCCACCAAATGCATGTTTTTTGACCCCCACGCAAGATCGGCCCCCCAAGCACTTTTGTTCTGCAAAATTGAACAAGATCCCAGCAACCAAAATGGCTGCCGGTCTCTTGCGATAAAAAACGAGATGTTCCAGTTTATCTGGAACACTTGTAGGCTATGCAGAATATGGTACCATTTATATCTGCTGCCCAGATTCAACTCACATTTGAGAACAAGTACAGTTTTGCTGCAAAAAAGTTGATATATTTTTAAAGTAAAGTTAAGCTCAACATCTGCAACCATATATATCTCTGGCTGGCTGCCACATGACTATACAGTAAAATGATTTTATTTTATTTTTTAAAGAAAGCTTGTTTGCCATTCTCTGGGCAATCATTTGGAAGGGAAAACAGGCTGTAGAGTCCTCAACTTTGGCCCTGAGCTCCAGGACTAGCTGCACCATTGTATTTTGCAAGTTAGCTGAAGCTAAATGGGAGACCACTGGAAACCATATAAAAAGCCAGTTTCAATTCACTTGATAATAAAAGACTCACCAGCAGAATCCTATACATATCTACTCAGAAGACACACTGAATACAATAGAAACTACCCCCGCAAGGAGGCATGTCTAAAATTGCAGCCTAAGGCTGCAGTTGACTACGGTAGACCTCTGAGGAAGCATGAATAGGATAGGGAAATACATTCCATACTCATGATACAAACAAAGCTTCCACAATAAGAACGATGAACAAAGATTGGGCTTTCTACTCTCTCCCCTGATCACTTTTCTCATTGCAGAGCCTCTGAAGTGTAGGTGGGTTCCCATGAAGCAAGACACAGTGATAACAGCAAGAACCTTTGTTGAACTAACAGAACTGGACAATAAGGGCAAAGCAACTGCTTATAGACATTTCTGGAGGCCTGGGCCACTCCCACTCCCACCGTGATTGGCTGTCTAAACTCCCAAGCTGCGAATCGTAACTCAGAGTTTAAGGGTCGATGGCCCAAATCCTGAAATGTTCTGTGATTGGATATCATGTATCAAATCAGAACACAGGGGCTCAGAATCCATAGTCCAGACTCAAGCTCAGGCACACACAGACTAATGAATACATAACAGTCTCCATGACTCACAGGTAGTCAAAATGGTGGCCTCCAGAGTTTTTGGACTACAACTCCTTCAACCATAGCTAGCGTGGCCAGGAATGATGAAAATTGTAGTCCAGCAGATCTGGAGCACACAATGATAGGTGCCTCAGTTCTACATGAAGTGGCCATATCTGCCAGCAGCATGTAAACTGGTTTCTTCTGGGAATGACGAGAGACTTCGCTACATTCGTCACAATACAGTGGTACTTCAGGTTAAGTACTTAATTCATTCCGGAGGTCCGTTCTTAACCTGAAACTGTTCTTTCTTTTCCTTCCTTTTTTAATTCAAAATTATAACAAGACATATTATCCAAAAACATATCCTTATTTCCCCCCCCACTTTTCCTCCCCCCCCAGAACCCACCCCACCCCCCGACTTCCCTCAGTTCCAGTCTTTGGTTTCTCTAATATTGCTATTTTCTGCATGTTACAAACCTGGAACTGTTCTTAACCTGAAGCACCACTTTAGCTAATGGGGCCTCCTGCTGCCGCCGCGCCGCCGGAGCCCAATTTCTGTTCTTATCCTGAAGCAAAGTTCTTAACCTGAAGCACTATTTCTGGGTTAGCGTAGTGTGTCACCTGAAGTGTATGTAACCTGAGGTACCACTGTACGTTTTGCATGCATTATAAACATCCACACCAATTGGTGCCAGAGAGCAAAAAGGAGTTTATATGGATTGTTACATAGGCTTCCCCCCACCTTTTGTTGTAACAATTTAACTTCTGACTTATTTATCGCTTTTGAACCTGTGTCTAGATCCACCCCAGCAAATGAAGGATGCATTATTGGATATTATCTAGTTCAGAAATTGCCTTGGTGCTACAGCAGCATTGAAAAAAATATTTCAAAAAACAGTATTACTGAAACCCAATGAATGGGTGTCCTTTGGTCACAAGTTAAATGCAAAACCTGACTCTGCAATAATGAAATTCTAATCCTGCAAAACAGCTGCTTTTTAAGATGGTTTGGCTGTTGCTTTTCCACAAGTATCCACGCAACTAGCAAATTGAAGGTTAATTTATTAAGAGTCCAAGTGAAAGTTCTTCAAAACATACTTGCTCTCAACTCTGAAATAGTTATGGCCTATACAAAGGCAGCACATCGTTAATATTTAATTGGCATCCATCACTGTGTCCCATCCGTTCTATATTTAGCCCCATCTTAATAATTCAGCAACTTGCATCTTCAGTAAAATATCATCTTACACCAAGGTACCTTTCTTACAACCCCATTTCAGTAAAAAGGGAAAGCATCAGTAAAAACTGTTGCAAATCCTGGGCAGGTTTGAAGGAGAGGGCAGGGGACACAAAGTGAAAAACAAAAACAAAACAAAAACTCAGGACATTAGATAGAACTTCAACTGCAGGAACAAATATATAAATTTAAAAACACAAAGCTATGTCCAACCCCCCACCCCCAAAAAACAACAACCCACACAAACCACATAATAAAAAAGTTGAAAATATTACATTCAGTACTGCACTCACATATGCATCTTAAAGATAAAATGATAACGTTTTAAAATGCTGCTTGCTCCAAGTGGTATGCTTTCTTATAGAACTATTATTGTTATTGTTGGATTGCATACTTTAATTACATGTGTTCATAGTTTAGTGTTTTTGAGTCACTGGTTTTTATATTGTAAACTGCTGCAAAAATATACCGTATTTTTCGCTCTATAAGACGCACCAGACCACAAGACGCACCTAATTTTTGGAGGAGGAAAACAAGAAAAAAAATATTCTGAATCTCAGAAGCCAGAACAGCAAGAGGGATCGCTGCGCAGTGAAAGCAGCAATCCCTCTTGCTATTCTGGCTTCTGGGATAGCCGCGCAGCCTGCATTCGCTCCATAAGACGCACACACATTTCCCCTTACTTTTTAGGAGGGAAAAAGTGAGTCTTATAGAGCAAAAAATACGGTAAGTGGTGTCAAGTGGTGTCAAGAGCGAATGTCACATAATGGGTAATGCAGATGGGGCCAGTCACTGTCTCTCAACCTAATCTATTTCACAGGTTTGCAAGGATAGAAAGTGTGGAAGGGCTTTATGCATCCTGAGCCCCTTGGCAGAAAGATGGGGTACCTATTACAGAAAGAATAAATGCCCAGTGCAATGCACAATGAATGAGGCCCATTTCTGTTTTCCTTTACAATAGTTCTGCATGCAGATAGTTTCTGGTGCAACTTTTTTTGCATGCAAGACTCATGCTGTTCTCATTTCAATTAGTTTACATCACTACAAGCTGCTTTCACCTTGGGAAAGAGGGCATAAGTATTGAATACATTTAATTCCCCATGAAATCAAACCAATATTTTTGGTTTGGGGGCAAAAAAATGTGGCTAACCCTGAATATAAGTACAGTGGTACCTGGGGTTACAAACACCTCAGGTTACAAACTCCGCTAACCAAAGTAGTATCTCGGGTTACAAACTTTGCCTCAGGATGAGAACGGAAATCACACACCAGCCATGCGGCGGCAGCGGAAAGTCCCATTAGCGAAAGCGCGCCTCAGGTTAAGAATGGTTTCGGATTAAGAATGGACCTCTGGAACATTTTAGTTCGTAACCCTCGGGTACCACTGTAAATCAACATACCATGCCCTCAGATTGTTGAGGATTTTTCTCACGTTCTGCCTCCACCATCTTTTCCCTTCAATTATGGTCCTAGTGCTATTCAATGCTCAGCCCACAATGTACCAAAGCCCACTTCCACAGGCATTCACATTTGCTTTATAAGTCCAATTACATGATAGAGTTGGACAGGAAGGCAGTGGAACCTTTCCATGAGATCTCGCTACTACTAACTCTATATCAGCAAAGCATCATAAACAGGGATGGGTGAAACCCAACAAGTATTTTGGAGGGAAGAAAACGCTGAACTCCCTCCCCCAATTTGGCTTCATGGGATTTTATTGCTATTAGCACAAATGCTCATTGAAACCGATAGCTGGGCAATAAAACCCTGTGGTTAGGTTATGTCACTATGAATAAATAGGATCACAAAAGAAGCAACCATTTCATGATCTTACCTTGCAAATGAAATGTAGAATTAACTTCTTCAGGTTTGGTTTTATAAACACAAGTATAGCTTCCAAGTTGGTCTCTTGTTGTGACATTTACCCTTAACAGAAGAAGCATTATATAATTGATGTTATATGACTATTTTTTTAAAGAAAAATAAATAAAAAAAAGGAGTGATAAGAAGCTGGAATTAACTTCACAAAGCAAAAACTGAAAGTAGAATTAGAGAGTGAAAGCAAAATTGCTAAAACAAGGATATTCCAGATTCATGGAAGATTGCAAACTGTAGCACGTGCAACAGATCAATTGATGGGCAGTGCATCTTGTGTGAACAAACCACCACAGATAAAATACTACAGATGGAACTTCCAGTGAATATTTACCCATTAGGTGAAACTTAGTTGCCCATTATGTGGCCACCAACAAAAATGACATGTGTTGAGATCTCCACCTCTCAAATTTAAAATCAGGGATGGGTTCTGAAGATGTTAAAGGTAAAGGTAAAGGGACCCCTGACCGACTCTGGGGTTGCAGCGCTCATCTCGCTTTATTGGCCGAGGGAGCTGGCGTTTGTCTGCAGACAGCTTCTGGGTCATGTGGCCAGCATGACTAAGCCGCTTCTGGCGAACCAGAGCAGTGCACGGAAACGCTGTTTACCTTCCCGCTGGAGCAGTACCTATTTATCTACTTGCACTTTGATGTGCTTTCGAACTGCTAGGTTGGCAGGAGCAGGGACCGAGCAATGGGAGCTCACCCCATCACAGGGATTCGAACCGCTGACCTTCTGATCAGCAAGTCCTAGGCTCTGTGGTTTAACCCACAGCGCCACCTGCGTCCCTTCTGAAGGTGTTACTAGACCACAAATCTCTTCATCCCCAACGACTGGCCAATGCAAATCAGTGATAGGAGTTGAACTTCAACATCACCTGGTAGATCACATGCCTCCCACCTGGGGCACGTCTGTCTTTATGACACTATGTAAATGCCACTACACATTGTGAATGGAAAGGAAAAACTTGACACAAGGATGCCCTTTGAAGTAGCCCTCCTGTGGCTCTCATAGTTAAGCTCTCCTCTTCACTGCAAATGCAATGTTTTATATCAATCATTTTTCATACCCTGCAGAAGATCATCAACTGGGGGGGGGAGCAATGCCAGTATACCTGTCTGCATCAAACCTTCCTTCCTTCCTTAGAAACGCTGTAATACACTAGGCAAATCAGAAAGGCCACTCACTCATGTCGACTGCACCAGCTGTTCTTGCTTTCATTCCTGAAGATTCTGTCATTTTTTATTGTTTCATTCTCCTTCTTCCAAACAACCTCAATTTCTTCCACATCCATAGAAGGCTTAAGAACCAAACTACACAACAGTTCGAGCTCAGCTGGACTCTGTAAAATGATGGTTTTAAGCACTGAATCTTTGGGGGAATCTATGGGAAATAAAAAGAAAGTTATGTGCTTAATAGAAAGTACTTTAATATGAAATTACGTAACTTTTTTTAAAAAACAACAACAGACTATTGGTTGCACATACACTAATTTAAATCCAGATTAATTTTGCAATGAGGACATTAGAAAAACCCTACCATTCTGCAATTCTACCAAACACACTGAAAACTGTCATTTCCATTGATTTCAGGGACTTGCTTAGAAGTAAATGCTCCCAGTGCATAGATAAGTCAGACATTTGCATCAGCAAGTGTCACAGGTGAGTGCTAGTCAGTAAACACAGTCCAAATTTGAAGTTAACTCTTTATTGGCAAAAATGCAATCTTAACAGACTTGATTAATGAGCAAAGCAGCTTATTCCTGGTGGTCTTACTCCATGAAGATCAGTTGCCGCGACTCAAAGTCCCGAACCCTCTTCACTGCCATCTAAGTCCCCTCCTCCCCAGGATTTTTTCCCAAGCAATCTGAGACTGTGCCTTCGTGCAGGCAACCTGTCCTCTGTCCTGTTCATGCCTTTTCTGGTTCTGGGAGACAAGAGGGGAGGGGAGCTTGTCACAGCAGGAGGGAGAGACAACCATGCCTCTTTGCCAGCCTGACTCATCTCTCTGCCTCTTGGTCTCCCTCCTTCCACTCTCCTGCTTCAGCTTCTGCCTCCAATTCTGGGCTTCTCTCTGCTACAGACTCTCCCAGCTCACTAAGCCCTGTTAAGTCTTCAGCTTCCAACACTTCCTCTTCCCAGTCTTCTCCCTCTAACCACTCATCATTGTCCCACCACTACTCCCTGGGCTCTAAGCCTTCTTCCCTTGGTTCCCCTGCTGGTTCCTCCCACCATTCCTCAGCATCCAACTAGTCCATGACAACTAGACAGAGAAGCCTTTTGCTGTGAGGTCCACAAAGCAGTATGCCTCTAAATATCAGTTTCTGGGAATCACAAGTGGGCAAAGCACTGCGGCAATCATGACCAGCTTGCAGGCTTCCCACAGGAGTCTGGCCACTGTGAGAACAGGATTCTGGACTAGATGGGCCTTTGGCCTGAACCAGCAGGCTCTTATGTTCTTAATGAATCACAGTTCCACTGGGTTAAGTTCAACTAATTTTCCTCCATATAAATTCTGTGAAATACCTCCGTAATAACTCAGTATTTATTTTATGTGAAGCAATTTATCCCTGACTGTTCAGCCTAAAAAAAAGGTTACTCAAGCAGCTTAAATATCATTGGTAAGAGGGTCCATGCCCAGCATGACCAAAAAGGAGCGCTAAAATAACTCTGTCTCTTTTTCGACAGAAAGGGAGACACTTGACAAACTGGTTTAAGAATGTATCCCTATGGAGCAACTCAGAAAAGGGTAGCAGCAAAACCATAGGGCTTGGTCTGATATAAAAATGAAATACTCTGTGGGTAACCTCAGACATACATGGTTCACTGTAGTTTCCTGCACAGCGACCTATAAGCTGTACTTTGTATTCTGGACTTAAATAGTCAGACATGTTTGGTTTCTATCCGCATACTTTTTGACGTAAAATTATTTAATGGCAAAAATTCAAATAATAATATTTATTAGCTGTGTAGCCCACACAGCCCAAAGGAGCCCATGAAGTCCATAAAGCATCATCATCAAGACTGTCCATCTCAGCCCAGCCTTAAATACAAGCAGTTTCCACCCCCACCCCCTCAATTTGTTCTCTAGCTTTTAGCTACTCTAGAAAATTTTGATCCGATGTTTTGAAATTTATCTCGATGGCCATGATAGCTGGAATCTTACTTGTGGTTCCCTGCCCCACTCCCACGCAAAAGAAACCAAATTAGCATGACTTCTCTACTACCAATCAATGTTCAAGATTAAGAGGAGAAAACATACCCTTCATGGTTAAATTATACTTCTTGAAAGGCAGGATTGGCGCTTGTGTAACGGAACGTGGAGCTGCCAAAAAGAAAAGTTGAGACTTGGTTTATTTTCATATCAAGCAGAACAAGATACAGCAGAAGATTAATTTGCTCTTTTAACATTCTTTAATTGGATCAAAAATATAAGGACCACAGGAGCAGAAGTACATTTCATAAAGAACATTGGGCTGCCACTAAAAACAGCCTTGTGCTCAGAGCTTCTCCTTATCCTCCTAGTTCATTTTCTGATACCCTTATGCTCTATATATTTTCCTCCACACATTGGCTATTGACCATGACTGTGCTGGCTGCAGATATAATCCAAAACATCTGGAGGATGCCAGGTTGCAGAAAGCTGAGTTATGCAGAGTTGGAGTAAGACCAAGAAGACTCAGTGGAAGGTAGATCTTTTATGCCACTCCGTGATGCTTAGAGGAAGGGTAGGACAGAAATGCACTTTGTAATGAATATAGGAAGCTGCCTTATTCTGAGCAGACCACTGGTCCCAATTGGTCTACTCTGCCTGCAGCTCTCCAGGGTCTCAGTTAGAGGCCTTTGCTCCTGTAAACTGGAGTTGCTGTGTCTTGGAATTGACTCTTAAGAAGTCTTCATCTGAAGTGAACAGTGCCCTAAAAGCACATTTTTAATCACAAAATAGTTTACAAGCTGTCACTGCAGATTTGACTTCTCTTCTACAAACCATGGGCCACACTAAACTACAGACTATGAGCCAAACTCAATGTAAGGTCACATGCATTACCACATTTAACAGGCAATTAAAAAAACACCCCAAAATGCACACGTAAGCAGTTGCCATTAGGAAGAGGAAAAGTAGTATTGAAACTATGGTAAGACAAAGGGGGAGATCTTAATGCAGACATGCACACAGACATAAACACACAATGCGGGAGGGGGGGGAGGAATCCCTCTCTCCAGCACTTATTTCTCCGTGTAGCCCAAGGATTGTTCCTCCCAATGCAAATAGCATTGGGGGGGGGGGACTCTTGGATATCAGGAAAGGGTTAAGTGCCCCCTGCCTGCCTGCCATTGTCTTGACCCTTGCAGAAGAATGGGCACATTAAGTGCAGGAATACTTTTAAAGTAATGTTTTCCTTGGCCCTGTGTAGCTGTGATCCTGGTCTGAGATATTTAGGAAGAATACATTCCAGAGACCAAGCCTAGGTTGCTGAAAATCAGAACCACCCTAATACTCTTTCAAAACATTTTGGAGCATGAAAAAGTCTTCCGACACTGCAGGGGTCTGGCTCCTTTTCATTTTTATATAATATGTGAGTTGCTGGGGAGGTGTGTGTATGTGTATGTGTGTGTGTGTGTGTGTGTGTGTGTGTGTGTGTTTTAAAAGCTCCTCCCTTCCTGTGGATGAGAGAAAATGTTTTGGAGCAAGGGCTGTGTTTTATTTTAAGGAGTTGTTTCAAAGGCAGCTGTTTGTTGGGACGCCTTGACTGATGGTTCTGGAGGGGAAGATTGCAGAATGGAGCTTCAGAGCATCAAAAGAAGAGCCCTGCTGGCTCAGAGGCAAGGGACCACTTCAGCCCAGCATCCTGTTTCTGCCACTGGCCAATCAGATGCTTCCCAGAAGCCCACAAAACAGTGCAAGAGGGCAGCAGCCCACCAAACACCCACTACAGGAAACCTGTACAGGAAGTGGAGAAATAAACAGCGGAACTTCCCTAAATGTAACCGTAGGCTAGGTGACACAATGAGCACAAATGTGATCGTCTAGCATTTCCTGGGCTGGGCCCCTTTGGCCTGATAAGCAACTGAAACAGCTTGATATCTGACATGCAACCGAATGGCAGCGGCTAGTGTCCATTGGGACTGGGAGGGTGGAAGACAGGGAGCCTAACGTCAGGTAAAACCAGTAACAGGTGGAGCCAACTAGTTGTGCTCCTATCCTCCTAACTCAGCCGCGTTCAACAAACGGCAATGCTGATATTAAAATGAGAGACAGTTTCACCCTCTGGAATGCTTGTAAGTAAGGCAGGCAGGCATGGGCTCAGGTAGGAGTAGCCTCCAGTTCAACCAGACCAGTTTTGTTTTGTTTTTTAAATACACTGTTTCCTGTAGGCCATACTGCCAAGACATACTGTATACTCAGTGATTTTTTTTCTTCTTCTGAGGGTTCTCAACAGTACAGACATACCTCGGGTTGAAGTTGCTTCAGGTTAAGCACTTTCGGGTTGCACTCTGTGGCGACCCGGAAGTACAGTGGTACCTCAGGTTACATATGCTTCAGGTTACAGACTCCGCTAACCCAGAAATAGTGCTTCAGGTTAAGAATTTTGCTTCAAGATAAGAACAGAAATTGGGCTCTGGCACCGCAGTGGCAGCAGGAGGCCCCATTAGCTAAAGTGGTACCTCAGGTTAAGAACAGTTTCAGGTTAAGAACGGACCTCCAGAACGAATTAAGTACTTAACCTGAGATACCACTGTAACGGAACGGGTTACTTCCAGGTTTTGCTGCTCACGCATGCGCAGACGGTCAAAATGATGTCATGTGCATGCGCGGAAGCAGCGAATCGTGACCCACGCATGCCTAGACACGGGTTGCGTTTGCTTCAGGATGCGAACGGGGTTCCGGAACGGATCCCATTCGTATCCAGAGGTACACTGTACACAGTACCAACACCTTTTTTTCTTAGAAGAAAAGCACTGCGTGTATTTACGGCACATTACTTCCCCCAAAGAATCCTGGGAACTGTAGTTTACGGCTTGCAGAGCCATCATTCTCAGCACCCTACACTTCCTGGAATATTTTTTTTTTGTGGGAGGGGGACATCATGTACTTTAAGTTTATGGTGCATATCGCAGATCTGCACCATATATCCAAGCACAACCAACACATGTATAAAGCACATGAGTCCCCTCAAGAATTGTGGAAACTGTAATTTGTTAAGAACACTGGGATTGGCAGACCTGTGTGGGTAAATTGCAGTCTCCATGACTTTTTTGGGGAAGTCATGTGCTTTATATGTGTGGTACAAATGTGCCTGTAGGTGTCTGAGGCTGCTGAAACTGCCCCCCCTGATGCCACCTGGGTTCTCTAGTAGGGGGTAAGACGTGCAAAAGCTAGGGTCTGATTCATGTCCATGCCAGCAGGAATCCAGGTAATAAATCTAGTTTTTCTGCATTTATTAAGAGAGGAGGAGGAGAGGGTGGGAATGTGCCTAGCCCCAGCTTAAAGGATGCGTGAACTGCAGCCTTGAGAATTTTGCTACGTGCCTCTTTTTAAGTTACAAGGGGCTGCAACACTTGTTGTTTCTGTTTTGCCTACACAATCTTATCAGTGGAGCTTCCAAGTACACTTGCCCGGGCTGAAGAATGCAACTCAATCAATACATGACAAGGTACAGGCTTCTCCTGGAATGAGTGACAAGAAGACTCCTACAGGGCAAAAGTAAAACACAAGGTGTTCCTCAGCTTTATCTTCCTCCTCTCAATAACTGGAATATTTTAGAGTGCGAACTCCCTCAGCACAAGATTAATCTTGTGCTGTCATCACTATTGGTAGAAACAGCAGACATGAGAAAATAGCCCTACTGGAAAATAATAATAGGTTGTTACCTGAAGTGGAAGTTCCCTGAGAGAAAATTCCATTGCTGGAAGTTGTTTCCTGGTTGGGATTTTGTGCTGCCGAAGTATCAGCTACATACAATAAAAAAGAAGAGTAAAAAAAAAATTATTCTTTTTATGATATGGTTTCTAGATTTTTGTTTTAATCTTATTTTAAAAAATGTTTCTGGATCCTGAGAATGGAGCGGACCCTTCATCCAGACACAGTGAGCAAACGTCCCAATCCTTTGACAACAAGTTATGAACAGGCAACCTGCCTTTCATTCCGTGTACTGGGAAAAGCAAACCAGACTGGAAATGAAAGCTTACAGAGACAGGAGAGCATCCTCCATCTCACCTGTGGGCAGCAAGCTAGCTTAGGGACACAGGGTAGGCCATGTGGACCACACAGGTCAGCCTTCCCCATACCCTTGACCTCCATCATCTCCTTCATGCAACAAAGCCTCATGGAAAATGCAACTTAAGTCATTCCAAAAGAAGATATTGAAGTACTCCAAATCATTTGCCCATGAACGTGGACTTCCACTACACTACTGGCCACACTCTGTCTAATGGTAGGGCAGGGGCTCTGGTAATGAATACTGGATATTATTATTTTTTACGCGGGTGGCGCTGTGGTCTAAACCACTGAGCCTTGGGCTTGCCGATCAGGTGGTTGACAGTTCAAATCCCTGTGGTGGGGTGAGCTCCCATTGCTCGGTCCCAGCTCCTGCCAACATAGCAGTTCGAAAGCACGCCAAAAAAGTGCAAGTAGATGAATAGGTACCGCTCCGGCGGGAAGGTAAATGGCATTTCTGTGCGCTGCTCTGGTTTTGATGTTCTGTTGCGCCAGAAGCGGCTTAATCATGCTGGCCACATGACCCAGACAACTGTCTGTGGACAAACGCCGGCTCCCTTGGCTCATCTGTGAAGCGAGATGAGCGTCGCAACCACAGAGTCGTCTGTGACTGGACTTAACGGTCAGGGGTCCTTTACCTTTTTAAATACCTGTTAAGGGATGCATTTCCTGACCCACTTTGTTCGATAAACTTTTTTGTTTAATAAAACTTTTCTCATTTGTTGATCAGATCCTAACTAGTACTCTAAATCATTACATTTCCCTCTCACACAAGTCCCCCACTAGATAATCTGCAGTAAATTGTAGAAATTCGTGTAATTGGTATACTGTGAGGTGGGTGCACTATATTTAATTGGGGACATTTAGCGGGAGTGGATCCACCGCATTATTAATTTGTAGTATTAAGTGGTGGGTCCGCTATATTTTAATGGCTTTTTTATTTTATTTTTTGGCCTGGTGCTTTTCCTGGGAAAACCTGTGTTTTACCATTGAATTGGAGCAAGCAGCAATTGGGTTTTCCAGAGAAAGTGCCACACTCTGACACAGAACTTTTAAAGTACAAACCTGTGCTTGAAAGTGTGGTATAAAGGTAATCTGGATGAGCCCCAAGTCCTTCAAGGAAGTGTAGAGGAAATAAACTCACTGAAGTTTTGCAAAATTCTAACAAAGAACCTGGTGGTCCATATATATTATTGTAATTTTGCCGGGTAAATCTGAAAAAAGCTTAGGCTGAATATACAATGCACAAAATTAAGGAAGTGGCTCCAAAAGCAGATATAAGTCATCCCAGGTCCTGACTGATTCAGACCACATCCTGGGTTCTGGACAGGTCAGTCTCCTGCTATTCCCTCTTGTGGCTGGCTTTTCTGACAACTTCATTCCAGGGAATTTGAAAGCTGCTTTGCAAGATTATGGCTGAAAATGATAAAGAAGGACTTCCTCCCTCTTAAATCAAGTCTATAGCATAAAAAGATTTTACTTTCTTGGGCTCCATGATCACTGCAGATGGTGACAGCAGTCACAAAATTAAAAGACGCCTGCTCCTTGGGAGAAAGGCGATGGCAAACCTAGACTGCATCATCTTGCCAACAAAGGTCCGTATAGTTAAAGCCATGGTTTTCCCAGTAGTGATGTATGGAAGTGAGAGCTGGACCATAAAGAAGGCTGATTGCCGAAGAATTGATGCTTTTGAATTATGGTGCTGGAGGAGACTCTTGAGAGTCCCATGGACTGCAAGAAGATCAAACTGATCCATTCTTAAGGAAATCAGCCCTGAGTACTCCCTGGAAGGACCGATCCTGAAGCTGAGGCTCCAATACTTTGGCCACCTCATGAGAAGAGAAGGCTCCCTGGAAAAGACTCCCTGATGTTGGGAAAGATTGAGGGCACAAGGAGAAGGGGATGACAAGGGATAAGATGGTTGGACAGTGTTCTCGAACATGAGTTTGACCAAACTGTGGGAGGCAGCGGAAGACAGGAGTGCCTGGCGTGCTCTGGTCCATGGAGTCACGAAGAGTTGGACACGACTAAACGACTAAACAATGACAACAACATGGCATAAAAACAAACAAACAAAAAACCCAGAACTGAAATACTATTTCTGGGCAGTTCTACATTTCCTGAGGACTGTACAAAAAGGAGACAACTGTCACAAGTACCTTGCTTTAGAGGGATGAGATTACGGGTAACTTCTTAGGCTTCTTTCTTTCTATACAGCACATGCCCTGCTACCACTAACAACACTTTGTCCATGGAGAAATGAGTATCAACCCTTAAGTCAAAAATTGGTATCTCTGAATAGACAGCATCAAGTTCACAAGCTATTTCCTGGGACTACTACGCATGGGTGCCATCCTTTTACACCCTTCATGAGCACCCACCCTTGACTCGGTTTTCTGTTTCTACAGGCAACTAGAAGGCTCAATAGCTAAAAGACACCCTAATTTGTTGTTGTTGTTTATTAAATTTATTGGTCTCTGGATCATGGTGCCCTCCAGATGTTGGAACTTCCATAATTCCTGACCATAGACAGTGTGTGGCTGGGTCTGATGAGCACTGCAGTCCAACAGCTTCTCAAGAGCACCAGATTCACTACCCCAACATAGGTTATACAGGGTCAGCCTAGGATTGGAAAGATGCAAATTCAAATCCCTCTTAATACCATAGATACCCTCTTGGATGGCCTGATATTCATGCACACCTTTCCACCCCAGAGCTGTTTCAGTACATTTTGCTGTCTATAGAGAAGATGACGAACTAACAGCCATACTTCAACACTGCCAGCAAAATAGTGTCTTCCTACAACATCCAAGGGTAACAGGCTAGCTCAGGGGTCAGCAAACCTTTTCAGCAGGGGGCCGGTCCACTGTCCCTCAGACCTTGTGGGGGGCCGGACTATATTTTGAAAAAAAGAAGAATGAATTCCTATGCCCCACAAATAACCCAGAGATGCATTTTAAATAAAAGGGCACATTCTACTCATGTAAAAACACACTCATTCCTGGACTGTCCACGGGCTAGATTTAGAAGGCAATTGGGCCGGATCCGGCCCCCAGGCCTTAGTTTGCCTACCCATGGTCTAGTTGATGGGGAAGAAGGTAAGACAAGGTGCACAGTGCTTAGTCCTCCAAAACTTAGCAGGTGCTCCACACTCCCTGCCCTGTTCTACCTCTCTTCATACTCCTCTTCCATCACATTTTGGGTCATTTTTTGACATGCTGTTAAAATATATTTCGTAAAAGACAGGTCTGGGGAAAATGTATGAGTATAATGTAAAGGGTAAATGTGTGTAGTTTCCGTTTCCTCATTGGTTGCTAAATGACTAACAAACCATTGTACAGTGGTACCTCTGGTTAAGAACTTAATTCGTTCTGGAGGTCCGTTCTTAACCTGAAACTGTTCTTAACCTGAGGTACCACTTTAGCTAACGGGGCCTCCCGCTGCGGCTGTGCCGCCACTGCGCAATTTCTGTTCTCATCCTGAAGCAAAGTTCTTAACCTGAGGTACTACTTCCGGGTTAGCAGAGTCTGTAACCTGAAGCGTCTGTAACCCAAGGTACCACTGTACTGGTTTTTGCAAGGGGGAATCTGTGTGCTAACAGGGTTTAAACATCAACCTTGCATGGAGGCATACAATTTGGATAAGAAAATTGGCTTCCAGGTGGAAAAATCAAAACTAGAAACAGAACTGTTAGAACCCAAAACTAAGATTTTGTCAAAGATGTATAATCTGCTGTTGAAATGGAATACTCAGGATGAAACCGTGAAATCTGCTATGATTAAGTGGGTACAAGATGATGGACATAATATTATGTTTGCTGACTGGGAACAGTTGTGGACCACAGGTATGAAATTTACGGCATGTAATGCCCTAAGAGAGAATATTATGAAAATGATATACAGGTGGTACATGACACCAGTCAAGCTTGCAAAAATCTATCATTTGCCCGATAATAAATGTTGGAAATGTAAAGAAAATGAAGGTACATTCTTTCACCTTTGGTGGACGTGCCCAAGGATTAAGGATTTCTGGGAGATGATCTATAATGAACTGAAAAAGGTATTTAAATATACCTTTTTGAAGAAACCAGAGGCCTTTCTCCTAGGCATAGTCAGCCAATTGGTGCCAAAGAAGGATAGAACTTTTTTTATGTATGCCACAACAGCAGCAAGAATACTCATTGCAAAGTATTGGAAGACACAAGATCTACCCACCTTGGAAGAATGGCAGATGAAGGTGATGGACTATATGGAATTGGCGGAAATGACTGGCAGAATCCGAGACCAGGGAGAAGAGTCGATGGAAGAAGATTGGGAAAAGTTTAAAGACTATTTACAGAAATATTGCAAAATTAATGAATGTTAGAATGATGTTGGATTGAAACTAAGTGGTCTTTAGCTGAAATGTTATAAGGGAATATGAAAAAATGGATTATTAATAGGTAAAATTTTAAAATTATAATACTTTACGATTAACGACTAGGATATACAAAGAGGGGAGGGATTTGCTGAACTAACAAACTGAACTGGAATACAAAAAAGGGAGGCGTGAGGAGGTCCGGGAAATAAGCAAATGAAGGATAAGTAATGGAAAGAATGAAGTGTTTTTAACTATTTTTATTTTTGTATTTCTCTTTTTTCTTTTTCTATATTGTAATATTTTGAAAACCTTAATAAATATCTTATAAAATAAATAAATAAACATCAACCTTGCAAAGTCACACAGTAGATGAAACAATTCACCTCTTGCCGTTTGGATGGAGGCTCTTCTCCATCTAATGTCTCCTGCCTCTGTTGTTGTCCTAAGCAACCTGCAAAGAACAGTTTGTGCCCGCGCCAGACCAATGAGATCATTTCAGTTATGTCCCCCAAGTGGAAGGAAGACAGTGTCTTATCTGAGATCATCATAGCCAATAATGCCTTTGTCAATAATGGACTGAGAAATTAATCAGCCTGGTGCTCTTTGCTGCAATGATTCATGCCTGCTTGCTTCTAAGGAAACAGGCTGCCTCTGCTAGCTGAAGATCAATTGGGGACTGGATTCTTTTTTCAGAGGAAGCTCCTTTAAAATGAGTCTATTCTTTTTTAAAAAAAGTAATTTGCTTTTGTGACAAGAACAAAATAATGTATAACATCCAGAACATGAGGGTAACACATAGTTCAGACCATTGGGTGCATCTGTTTTACTGTAAAGCATTTGTTGTTCTTATGACCAGAATTCTCCTTTTGGGTTGACAGTGTCATCTTGTACAGTCATGCCACATGAAGCCATGCGTTGCTGGTGGTTGCCAGTTCTGTTCCTTCCACACTATGTATTTTATTTTAAAATGCCATGTCACTTGAAACTTCCCTTTTGCCTTTTAAAAATCACCACTGTCTTTCACCTTGTGTCTCACTTTTTCCCCATCAATGCTGGTGCCATTCGGATAGCAAGTTGACTCAAATCTTTCCACCTTCTAGGTACTGTCAAGCCTGCAAATAATATAAAACTATTGCTCTATCTGGTTCAGTATTGTCTATACACAGACTGGCAGCATCTCTCCAGGGGTTCAGGCAGTACTTTTTTTCTAAAAAAAATGTTTAGGGGTACTCTCATTTCCTACTCATATTGAAATACTGCCCCTCAATGACGCCAAACTTAGATTCACAAAATGTTTAGGGGTATGCGTAGCCCTGTGCCCCCCCCAGAAAAAATGGACTGGTTTCAGGCAAGGATATTCCCAGGTATACCACAGATATGTACTACATATCTCTGTATATGTATGCTGTAGATCAGGGGTAGGCAACCTAAGGCCCAGGGGCCAGATGCGGCCCAATTGCCTTCTAAATCTGGCCCGCAGACGGTCCGGGAATCAGCGTGTTTTTACATGAGTAGAATGTGTCCTTTTATTTAAAATGCATCTCTGGGTTATTTGTGGGGCATAAGAATTCATTCATTTTTTCCTTCAAAATATAGTCCGGCCCCCCATATGGTCTGAGGGATGGTGGACCGGTCCATGGCTGAAAAAGGTTGCTGACTCCTGCTATAGATCAAACCTATCTTAACTAGTCCTCATGTCCCCTTTTCTTCATAACCACATCCCCTTTCTTGATGATAGTACATTATGAAGGGAAATGGTTGAGGGGTGTATGTGTGCCACAGTTGCACACATCTGCACACAGCCACCCACTGTGTTCCATTAAAAGTATACCTAAAATACGGAAGTTCTATAAGCTATGGAACTACTTCAGTTGAAAATATACAAGGCCTCAAGTCTGACTTTATTCTCTGCAACAGTACTGTAGTAATATTTGTGGGAACAGAGTACCTCGCAGAACAGTGTCTGAAGTTGCAATTCTAGACCCTTGCCTGGCAGTAAGCCATATGTAGGATTGCACTGCGCAAGACAGTTAGGATTGGTGCAACATAAAGCAGAGATGAAGAGTGAAGAACCCGAGCATAGGAGCCAACTCTTAGGGGTCGTGGGGGCCTCCCCCAAAGTTGATGAGCATTGCCATACAATGGTGTGCATGCACCACATTATGTGATCAATTATGCAGGCATACCCTCCAATGTTTCTCAGATGAAAATAGGGACGTCCCATTCCATAACGATCATTTTACTAATTATACCCCATGCATCTTACCTGGTTGGCCCAGCCACTCTGGGCAGCTTCCAACATATATAAAAACATAATAAAACATTAAACTTTTTATATATATAAAAAAACTTCCCTATACAAGATTGCTTCAGATGCCTCGGGAGTTGGCTAACTCCATACCCTCCAGCATTTCTCCAATGTAAATAGGGACATCCTAAGGAAAAGTGGGTCATTCCAGGATCAAATCAGAAACCAGGACATCTTCTCTAAATCAGGGATGTCCCTGGAAAATAGGGACACTTGGAGGATGGGGCTTACCTGGGCCTCCAAATATTTTATTCAAGTTGGCAGCCCTGAACCTGAGTTGTATATTCTCTCTTTTTAGTCCTCCTTTCCATATCACTGCTGCTTTGCAGTCATCCCCACAACAGCCATGTGAGAGAAATCCATTAATCATCCCATAGCTATGTACAGCACTTTAAATGCCTGAGCCTAAAATTTAACTGCTGCTGCTCTCCCCCATTCTTGATTCTGACCTCCTCCTTTGAGGATATGCTTCAAGTTCAAATGGTTCCAGGTTTAATTCCACAGTATTATCTCTAGGTAGGCCCAGGAGAGATCCATGTCTACAACCCTGGTGACATGAGTTGCCATCCAGTTTGCACAATACTGGGCCAGATGGAGGTCAATGGTCTGACTGAGTACTGTATACAGCATCTTCCTATATTGCCCATCTTCTGATGGACCTCATCAAGCAGAGAAGTTACTCCAAGAAGGCACTAAGCATATAAATTTCAGGCAATCTTTCTGTAGGGTGGCATCACTTTGCCCAAAACAGTTCTGTTCTAGAACTCCACCAGAAAGTCTAGCCGAAGTTCACACTGTGGAAGAGATACTTGCTTGCTTCACCACTGCAGGGTATTGGACAGAAATGAAGTATTCACGGAGTCAATTTTATAACAGTGAAGCTATGATATATAGCTGATAAGCAGACTGACAAAATCCAGAAAAGGCCAAGTGAGGTCCACCATTTCCATGAGGGATGATGCTCCATCTAAGCAAGTTCTGGTCAATCTTTGACCTTCCAGATGTTACTGAGCTAATAATAATAATAAATTTTATTTATATCCCGCCCTCCCCAGCCGAAGCCGGGCTCAGGGCTGCTAACAACAATAAAACAGTGCAAAAGTACAGCATAAACAACAGTCTAAAATCATTCGTTATAAAATTAATTAATTCAAGCCACTGGCAACCATTGGGCCAGAGCTCCGCGAAGATTGCCGAGGGAGGGAGTCAGGCTGTGCCCTGGCCAAAGGCCTGGTGGAACAGCTCTGTCTTGCAGGCCCTGCGGAAATATGTCAAGTCCCGCAGGGACCTGGTCTCTTGTGACAGAGTGTTCCACCAGATCAGAGCCACAGCCGAAAAAGCCCTGGCTCTAGTTGAGGCCAGCCTAACTTCTCTGTGGCCTGGGACCTTCAAGATGTTTTTATTCGAAGACCGTAAGTTTCTCTGTGGGGCATACCAGGAGAGGCGGTCCCGTAGGTAGGAGGGTCCTAGGCCATATAGGGCTTTAAAGGTTAAAACCAGCACCTTAAACCTGATCCTGTACTCCACCGGGAGCCAGTGCAGCTGGTATAGCACCGGGTGAATGTGATCTCGCAACTAAGACCTCGTAAGGAGTCTCGCTGCAGCATTCTGCACCCGCTGGAGTTTCTGGGTCAGTCTCAAGGGCAGCCCCACGTAGAGCGAGTTACAATAATCCAGTCTGGAGGTGACCGTCGCATGGATCACAGTGGCTAGGTCAGGGCGAGAGAGGTAAGGAGCCAACTGCTTAGCTTGGCGGAGATGGAAAAATGCCGCCTTTGTTATAGCTGCAATCTGCGCCTCCATGGAAAGGGAGGTGTCGAAGATTACACCCAAACTCTTAACGGACGGTGCTGGCACTAATTGCGCCCCCACAAGAGATGGGAGTTGCCCCCCCAATCCCATATCGCCCCGTCCCAGCCACAGGACCTCTGTCTTCGAAGGATTTAGCTTCAACCGGCTCCCACGTAACCATCCAGCCACAGCTTCCAAACATCTGGTCAGTGTGTCTGGGGCCGAGTCAGGATGGCCATCCATCAACAGATAGAGTTGGGTGTCATCGGCATACTGATGGCAACCCAGCCCAAAACTCCGAACAAGCTGGGCGACGGGGCGCATAAAGATGTTGAAAAGCATCGGGGAGAGTAACGCACCCTGAGGTACTCCACACACCAAGGAGTGGCGCGATGACAATTCCCCCCCAAGCGCCACCCTCTGTCCCCGACCAGAGAGAAACGAGCGCAGCCATTGAAGGACTGTGCCCTGGATCCCCACGTCGGCAAGGCGGTGGTCCAGAAGTTCGTGATCGACCATGTCGAAAGCTGCTGACAGATCTAGAAGAATCAGCAGCCCCGACCCGCCTCGATCCAGCTGTCTACGAAGATCATCTGTTAGGGCAACCAGAGCTGTCTCGGTCCCATGACCAGCGCGGAAGCCGGACTGGAATGGATCCAGAGCCTATGTTTCATCCAGAAAACCACCAAGCTGTTCAGCAACCGCTCTCTCAATCACTTTACCCAGGAACGGAAGATTCGAAACCGGGCGGTAATTGGATAGATATAAAGGATCTAATGATGTTTTCTTTAAGAGCGGGCGCACCACTGCCTCCTTCAGTTCCCCTGGGAATGTCCCCGTGCCAAGGGACAAATTGATGATATCCCCCAGGAGGGCCCGCACCTCGTCTGGACATGCTCTAATCAGCCAAGACGGGCACGGGTTGAGAGGACAGGTTGTGGGCTTTCCAGCTCGGAGGAGTCTGTCCACATCGACTGGGGATATCCGGTCGAAGTGGTCCAATACTGGACCCGAGGACAGTCGAGGGGCCTCCAGTTCCTTTATTGTATCCAAATTGGCCGGGAGGTCATGGCGGAGTAACAAGACCTTCTCCGCAAAAAGCTCGCAAATGCCTCACAGCTGTGTGTCAAATTGTTATTTAAATTTGGCTGTCCCTCAAGGGACGTTAAAGACCTGATTATACTAAATAATTGCGCCGGGCGAGAGCTAGCGGATCCAATGGAGGCCGAGAAGTATGACTTCTTAGCAGCCTTCACCGCCATCTCGTAGGTTTTCATAAAAGCCCTATAAGATGTTCTTGAGGCTCCGTCACGGGCACCCCGCCATACTCGCTCTAGCCGTCTGAGGTCCCGCTTCATTTTCCGGAGCTCCTCGGTAAACCAGGGAGCCCGGTTTCTGCGGGGTCGCAGAGGGCGCTTAGGTGCGATCTCATCGATGGCTGCCAGGAGCTGGGTATTCCAGCCCTCAACAAGCTCAGTCAATGAGTCGCCAGGGGGAGCAAGGTCCTGCAAGGCTTGGCGGAATCTATCAGGGTCCATCAGCCTCTGCGGGCGAGCCCAAATCGGCTTGCCACCTAAGCAGGGTGGGGGTGGAAAGTCAATCCTGGCTTTCAGAGCGTAGTGATCAGACCATGGCACCTTCATCGAAGGAGACATGATCACATCTATACCTACGCCAAAGATCAAATCCAGCGTGTGGCCTGCTTGATGTGTGGGGCCCGAAACAAACTGGGAGAGCCCTAGTGTCGCCATGGAAGACACCAGGTCCAGAGCCTGTGAGGAGGGAGTGGCATCAGCATGGATGTTAAAGTCCCCCAATACCAATAGGTTAGGGAACTCCAAGGCCCAGCCGGCCACCGTCTCCAATAGGCCTGACAGGGTGGCTGCTGGTGCACTAGGTGGCCGGTACACCAGCCAGACAGCCAAGCTCTCCTCGGAGCCCCACACTAGGCCAACACATTCAATGCCGGGGATCGATGGCGATGGTAGAGCCCTGAAAGGACAATCTTCCCGGATTAATAATGCCACCCCTCCCCTGGCCCACAGTCCGCGACTGGTGGAGGACGGAGAAACCCGGGGCGCCATCTCTCGTAAGGTAACTGTTGCCCCTTCGCGCACCCAGGTCTCCGTCACACAAGCCAGGTCGACCCCCTGCGAGATAAAGAAATCTCGCAGGGTGGCGGTTTTATTGCCTATAGACCTGGCATTGCACAGCACCAGTGATGGAGGTGAGTAATCCTTGCTCACCCTACCCTCGTCCCTCGGGATGGGGCGCAGATTGGAAGGGGTACGAGCGTATCCATATCTCGATCCCCTTCGCCTATAACATCTGCCCCCACCGCCATACCTCCTTCGCCCCTCCACAGTAGCAATCCCAGGCCTCATGGTAGCCTCCATTGATGGCAATTAATGTTATTCTTTCGCAGCCTAAAACAATAAAACCTTAAAACAATAAAAACAAAAAACAAAACAACCCAGAAAACAATAAAACAATACAAATAAAAACTGCAAAAATTACAAATTCATCAAAATCTAACAAATTCCCAAGCCCACCCAAACATCCATCCCACCCCATATATAAAAATCTAAAGGGAAAGGAAAATATTTAATAATAATAATAATAATAATAATAATAAACATGTTAAAAAGAACTCTGCACCCCTCCGGGTCCTCCTGGGCAGTAGCAGCATCAATGGCAACAACCATCCTTGTGAAGCCCCACCCTGGGCCAGACAGTAAGTGGCAGGAGCAGTCCTTGTGAGGCCTGTCAGGCCCTCCCTGGGCCAGGTGGTAAGTGGCAAGAAGGAGCAGGGCCCTCAGGCACTCACACAGGGGAGGCAAGCCGCAAGCAGTCCTTGTGAGGCTTCAGGCCCCGCCCCAGGCCAGATGGTAAGTGGCAAGAGCAGGGCCCTCAGGCACTCACCACAGGGGAGTCTTCCTGGGCAGCAGAGCAGTCCTTGTGAGGCTTCAGGCCCCGCCCCAGGCCAGATGGTAAGTGGCAAGAGCAGGGCCCTCAGGCACTCACCACAGGGAAGTCTTCCTGGGCAGCAGAGCAGTCCTTGTGAGGCTTCAGGCCCCGCCCCAGGCCAGATGGTAAGTGGCAAGAGCAGGGCCCTTAGGCACTCACCACAGGGGAGTCTTCCTGGGCAGCAGAGCAGTCCTTGTGAGGCTTCAGGCCCTGCCCCAGGCCAGATGGTAAGTGGCAAGAGCAGGGCCCTCAGGCACTCACCACAGGGGAGTCTTCCTGGGCAGCAGAGCAGTCCTTGATGGAAGCTACAACTTCCATCATCCCTGGACACTGGTTATGTTTGCTGGGTCTGGTGGGAGTTGCAGTTCATCAAAAACTAGAAGGCCAAAGGTTCACCACACCTGATTGCCTGGTGTGTTGCTGTTGCTCACTGAGAGGGAGAGGTGGTGTGGATGTCAGCATGGTGCAAACCCACTGGCAGAGCCAATCCAACATTTCTGCCAGTGCATGTGCACTGTGCCAATCACCTTCCACCTCACCCCTCTACTTTCCAGTAAGCAACTGTAACCTACTTGCCAGGAAGCCTAGTGGCTTTGCCCCACCTGATGACCTACTTCTGCATCTGCAAAACTCCAAAACATCAAACCTGGAATTTCCACACAGCCATCGTGACTCATAACCAACGAGAGACCACTCATTCATTAGTCTCCTTTTTAAAGCTACTCTGCATACTAACTGAGAAATCTTTCTCCACACATGGACAATTTAGGTAGCCAAAACTGCAACATCTATATACAAAAGGATCAGCAGGCTTGGTTTGAAGGGGACACAGGAGTGAGGAGAACTCTAAGGAGAGGAATCCAAACAGTCCAATAAGGATTAAGGATACAAAATGCTGACTGCCTTTTGCAGGAGCAGAAAACAAGAGAAGATGAAATGGAAGTATCCTCAAGGATGTTGCTGGCTGGTTGGATGGCAGGAACCCTGAACAGGCACATTCCACACTATGCCATTTTGTTGCAGGACCCTGTCTAAGTTAGCAGCCACCCCCATTGTGTGGCAGTGAATTCCATACATTAAATTATACTCCATGGCATGAAGTAATTTGTCTCTCCTAAACTGGAAGCCAAATGGTTTTACTTGATGACTCCAAGTTCACTATGCTTAAAAATCCTTTTCTCATAGTGAAGGGCCATTCCTGCTCCCCATTTAAAATTGTCCCTTTGTTTCTCCGTTTAAGATAAAATGTAGATTGTGGATGAGCTTCTGAACAGCTTTGCTACTACAAAGTACAAAGGTACTTGCTTAATTTTGGGGCTAGACTTAACAGCAACCACTCAGTGCTGGTGGATGGGAAATGCAACTCTGCGGGGATCAAGAATTCTGAAGCTGAAACTAGGTCCATTCGGGGTAGGCAACACAGCTTCAAAGTAACAAATGTGAGATAAAACTACTCAATATCTTTCTAACCCTTCTGATCCCAGCAGTACAGTGGTACCTCAGGTTACATTCGCTTCAGGTTACAGACTCCGCTAACCCGGAAATATTACCTCGGGTTAAGAACTTTGCTTCAGGATGAGAACAAAAATCGTGCAGAGCGGCAGCAGGAGGCCCCATTAGCTAAAGTGGTGATTCAGGTTAAGAAAAGTTTCAGGTTAAGAACAGACCTCCAGAACAAATTAAGTACTTAACCCGAAGTACCACTGTACTGTGATACAACCTGTTGGCCTCTTCAGCAGTAAATAGATCAGAGGCACGTGTGACCCCACCCCATCTCAGAAATCCTGAATATGATTGGTTGTATCCAGACTAAGTGAGTGGCACTTAGTTGCTACTGAAATCAGCTTAAGGCTGCATTCAAACATTCCCCCTCCCTCGAAGAATTATGAGCACTGTAGTTTTTTTTAAGGGTTGTTAACATATCTCTTAGGGGTGATCTACACTACCCAGAATTCTTTGAGCAAAATAAACTGCTTTGAATGCTTTAATGTGCATGGATTGTACACAGCCAGAGTCTCAATGATTGTAACAAGACTTTGGTGTAACGAGTGTGAGTTTGGACTCTGGAGGATCCAGCCCTACGCCTAGCAATTCAAAATCTGGTTGTTTTTCTAGTTGGAAACTGCTGTTTGTGGTACAGGAGATTATACTACAATTTTTAAGAAAAGGAACAGGGGGTAAGGATATTTTTCAATAATAACTTTATAAACCCCATGAATTCTAATGGAATTCAGTCTATGAAAGAGGTCTGCTGCTTTATTTCATATCCTCACTGTGTCATTTGGTAAAACTCTCTCAAACTTTCAAACAGGAAGCACAGACACCATTTCCTCTGCATTTACTGTGGCGCAAACTGCGGGGAGGGGAGAATCGTCAGATATCGTGCCAAACAGGGCTTTAATGCAGCGTGCACAAAACAGGACTTCAAAGTGCTAAAATAGCTTTAAATGTGTAGTGAAGTTGGGGATCTGGAGCCAGAGACTAGAGTCCTACCTGCACATTTAAAGCAGAGTTGTTAAGGAGAGCCTATTCCATTCACAGATCTTCAATTCTCAGTTCCCTGGGAAGATGGGCCTACTTTTAAACCACCCTGAGAACTGCAACTGTGGCAAGGGGAATAAGGGTCTCCTAACAACTCATAGCACCCCTAACCTCCCAGGATTCTTTGGGGGAAAGCCATGGCTGTTTATAGTAGTGCGATACCGCTTTAATTGTATGGTGCAGATGGGTCCCTAGGGCAATGTCAGAAGGATATAGGAACCCTCTTCTGTTGTGAGACTTGCACAAATCTGTGAGTTTGTTGGGTCTTCGGTGAGAGTCAGCACTGGTGACAGTGAGAGACAGGATGCTGAGAGCTGTTCGCGGGGTGGGGGGGAGGGGGCAGTTTGAGATGAAAGTTCCATCTCTGTGTATTCACATTCCTGGCTTTATTGCGCATTTTTGTAACCGTTGTTTCAGTTTACTGCAGACTGCTTAGGGACAGTTTAATATCTGAAGTGGTATAGGAATGGTGTAAATAAATAAAGATTTGAGGCAACAGGTGGGGGGGACTGCTGTTGTGCTCATGTCCTGCTTGGGGGGGGGCACTTCCTACAGGCATCTGGTTGGCCACTGGGAAAACAGGATGGGCCTGATCCAGCAAGGCTCTTATGTCCTTGTGTTTTTACAACTGTGTGTGCGTGCACATGGTGGTGGTTATAGTGGAGTCAAAGAGCAATGACATGCAAGTAGCACATCATTCACACAGCAGCAAACAGACACAAAACAAAGGACAGTGATCATTCACAGCTGAAACAATGGGCCATCATCCTGGCATTATTAAGTTAATTCCATGGGTAATGTTGCTCCAACAACACGGATCTCCAGTCCTAGGGACTATTGTCTGCCTCCACTTTACCACCTGCTGGAATCTTAACCTCTCTCCCCTGCTTATTTCCCCCCTCCTCCTCTTATTAAACTAGGAAGGCAATGGCTTTTACAAAAGAGGACACGAAGGATTCTACAACCAGGAGAATGCAGAGTTTGGAAACGCCTTAGACGCGTGTCTTTTTAATCTTAGTAGTCATAAGGTAGGAATTAACCTTTCAGGGGGCGGGGGAGCCTGGTTAGTATGCCGCAAAGTGAAGATTCGGGCAGAACATCACTTCACCAAAGCAACCCCCTCCTGCCAAATAAACTCGGACTGGGGTAAATAAATAAAATGTTTAAAATTAAAATGCCTTGAACCATCTAACCCCACCCCCTCGGTTTGGAGAAAATAATAGTCGTCGTTTTATTTATTTTTTTGCCTTGAAGCAAACCTTCTCAAGGTGACTGCTCACCTTGGGATGAGAAACGCAGCAACGACCATCCTTTTTTCTGGACGTTTGCCTAGGTTGCCAGCCGCCCGGAGAAAACACCGCGGAAATTCATAGCGATTATTAATATCCTTACCTGCGGGAGTGCTGCTGCTGCTCCCGACGTCCAAAACACCCCAAACAACCAGCAGGAGAAGGAGGCGAACGGAGTGCAACGCCACGGAGGCGCTCATGCTTGCTTGCAGCGGGCAGAAGCTTCTGCAATAGCACTGCAGTGAAGTCTGGCCGCTTGCTCCGTTGCGCCCCGCCCGGCCGCTCCAGCTAGCAGCGCCTTGTTCTTTGAGAAGGGTGTTGCCCTGGAGCTGTACTAATAACGGGAGACTGACGTCAAGAGGAGCAACCAACCAGCGAATCGTCGAGCAGGTGCGAAAGGGAAAGTGTGGCCATCGCGCAGCTGTTTAGAACCTCCGAATCTTTCTATGAATGAATGAATGACTAGGGAGTGGTTAGACTCCCTCTGTTCCAATCCTATGCATCCTTACTCAAAAGTAAGCACAACAGCACAACAACAATTCCAGGTGCATTAAAATAATAATAATCTAGGTTTACTAAGACAGATTTGGCTGCCACTAGGATACCTGTCTTTTATTATTATTATTATTATTATTATTAAGCTGCTCTTTTAGCATTTAGCTTTCTCAAAAGTCTTAATTTGTATGTGATGGTAAAAACTGGATTGGCAATGTTGCCACTGTATTGCGTTTTTTCGCAGCCATTTTGAAAGGACCTTGGTTAAAAAAAAAAAATCAGGTTTTTTTAATAAACCAAACCAAAATCACTTAAATCTGTTCAAAAAGGCTACCAGCAACTTCTTTCTGCTTTCTCTTTACAGTCATAAAGTTGGAAGGAACCTCTATGTCTAGTCTGACTTTTGCTTGTATCTAGATTCAGGTATAATAATAATAATAATAATAATTTATTATTTAGACCCCGTCCATCTGGCTGGGTTTCCCCAGCCACTCTGGGCGGCTTCCAACAAAAAATCTGCATGCACACAAAAGCTTATACCCAGAACAAACTTAGTTGGTCTCTAAGGTGCTACTGGACATTTTTTATTATTATTATTTTGCTTGTTTGTTACTTTCTGAGTTTCATTTAGGCAGGAGAGGGGAAGTGACTAATAAATAGAAGAAGTAATAATAACCTGCATCTGCATTGCAAGGTACAATCAGTGCAGAATTCCTGACCAGCCACTACGTAAATAAATCCAGTGAAGGTTTTGTTATAGGGCTGGGGGTTGGTTAAGCATCCTATATCCATGACTTAAGAGTTGGCTGTATTGCCATAGAAACAACTAACCAGTGATGCATCTAGAGGGAGATGGCAGACATTGCCACCTTCTCACCTGGCTGGAGTCCACATCATCTGAGGTGTAGGAGAACAATAGACCAGGGACTATTTTTTGGCTAGTCCCACTGAAAGCTGGGAAGACACAATGGCTTGACTTCTCGTTCTTTGCTGAACTCTCCAAGAACTCCAATGGGGGAGGCAAGATCCGATGCTCAGCTTGACTATATGTGTAAATAAAACCATATTTAATAAAGACACCATAGCCATAGTGACTTTCATTCCAAGGAAATGAAAACAAAAGTATAAGCTGGTACCCCTGAAGTCTCTCACCACTCAGAGAAGTGCGTGTATCGGTATTTTTGCATGTATGGTTGAGGCACCACAGAACTATCCTCATAAGGTTATGAAGAAGAGACCCTCTGGATCTCTTCTTCAGAAATCTTTTTCCCAGAATGCTCAGCCATATAAGCAGGGGATGAAACAGGACAGCAACACAAACACACACACACCCCTCGACTCCACCAGCACTGTTTGTTTCCCATCAACAGGTATTTAGTGGCTCAGCAGTCTCTGGAGATAGCCATCCTGGCCATTGATTGACCAAGTCCCTTTGTCTTTGAATTAGCCTAATCCCCTGCTGATGCCTATTACATCTCCTGAAAGTGGAATTCCAGGCATTTATGTGGCTTGTGTGAGGATGCACTTCCTTTTGTCCTAAACCACCCATCAAGTGTAGAGGAAGAGGGAGATATATATTTTTCTAAACCTCCATCACAGAACCTCTTACAGCACAATCCTATGCAGTGGTACCTCTGGTTACATATGCTTCAGGTTACAGACACTTCAGGTTACAGACTCCGCTAACCCAGAAATAGTACCTCAGGTTAAGAACTTTGCTTCAGGATGAGAACAGAAATCTTGCGGCGGCTGCACAAGGCCCCATTAGCTGAAGTGGTAGCTCTGGTTAAGAACAGTTTCAGGTTAAGAACGGACCTCCAGAACGAATTCTTAACCCGAGGTACCACTGTATATGTTTACTCAGAAGTAAGGCCCACTGAATTCAATTCCCATGAAAATGGGCAATTGTACCATGTGCCATTTCTATACCAAACACCGGTGTCCCAAAATGCTTTCACCTTTCCCTGCATTGTGATCGAGTCTCTTGTCTTGATCCACACTTTGATAATTTTGCTTGCTCTTTCCTGCATCTTTTGCAGCTCTAAAATATTCTTTTTTTTGGGGGGGGGAGGAATGCACAACTTATTCCCAAAGTCACTCCATCATATATTTCTATAAAGGCATTGCAGTATTATTCCCTGCTATAATTTCAGCCTTATATATATTTTATTTTTTCCTACCACTAAAGTTTTCATTGAGCTGTCCACCATGGTCTAAAAATTTTAAAGACGTGATTTGATTTAACTAAATCAAATCAAAAGTTAATTAGTTAGTTATGAATGACATTTTGTATGCTGCTCCATAAAATGAGGCAGTGGTCTTCAGCTGGTGCATCGTGACTGCTATTGGCCTGCAGCCTAATCTAAGGTGGGTCATGATAGCACCACTCCACCATATGCCTTTTTAAAAGAAAAGAAATGGGCCCTCAAATGTGTGCTCCAGTTAAACATGGGTCTCAGGTCTGAAAAGATTGAAGAGTACTGATGTAAAGTACTCTGCACAGCTAATTCCAGGAACTCAGCAGGACTAACATTTGATGCTTGCTGTAAATGTCAGAGCTCAGCTGTAAGCATGCTAATATTAATAAAATAAGAATACCTCAGAGCATGCTCAGAGTGATTTTACCCTTCCTAATGAGATACTCTTGTCTCACCCAGTTCATCTAGATCAGGCATCCCCAAACTAGGCCCGCCAGGTGTTTTGGGACTACAATTCCCATCATCCCTGACCACTGGTACTGTTAGCTAGGGATGATGGGAGTTGTGGTCCCAAAACACCTGGAGGGCCGAGTTTGGGGGTGCCTGATCTAGGTCAATGGTTTCCTAACTTTTCATTCCATTGCCCTCTTGCTTGCATAACTCATGGAAGGGGGAGGCAGCAGGTTTCAGAAAGAGTAAGAAAAAGCAGCAGAGCTAGCCCTTTGATGGGAAGGAGGCTGTTGGGGATTTCACTGGGTGATTTACAGGGTTTCTGTCTCCCAGTTGTTTCAAAGCAGCAGCAACAAAATAGCTTTTCTCGCTAAAATTAGGCTGCTGAACAGGCTTAGCAGGAGTGGACTTTACATGAAAGCTTTGTGAACTCAGGGTACAGAACTGATAGCCTCTTCCCAGGCTCAGGGACATTCTATTTAATTTCCAGCTCTGGTTATAGAGTTGGAAGGGAACCCAACCCCCTGCAATGCAGAACTCACAACTAATCACAGGTTAGTAGACCTTGGAGGTTCTAGTGCTAAATGTGCATTCTCTTCAGCTGTCTTGTCTTTCTTTAGCTGTGAAGCCAATCACACCAAATGATCCTGAGGGCTGCCCAGCCCTGCTCAACCTGGACCCGGCTGGAAGTGGGCAACTTGGCCCGAGTCTGGGACTCAGCAAGGAATGATCACAACCTGCCTCTCTCTGCCTCTTGCCATATGCACAGCCGGTGATGCACAGCTCGGTTTCATGTGGTGTAGAGGTTAGGGTGTTGGACTAGGACCTGCGAGACCAGGGTTCAAATCCCACTCATCCATGAGGCCCACTGAGTGACCTTGGAGTAGTCACTATCTTTCAGTCTGAGCTACCTTGCAGGGTTCTTGTGTGGATAAAATGGAGAGGGGAGAAGCTTGTGCATCACCTTAAAAAAGGTGGTTGTAAGTGTAATAAGTATGCAAGCAAACATTCACAGTAAAGTCTGGCAAGTACAGTGGACGCTCGGGTTGAGAACGTGATCCGTGCAGGATACATGTTCGTAACCCACAGTGTTCGCAACCCGTCTCTGTGCATGCGTGGGTTGCACTTCGGCGCATGCACAAAATGCAATTCCCCCCCCCCCCAAAAAAAACCAGTAGCAATTAATGGCAGATTTATTCAAAATCCAATAAAAAGAACTTGGTCTAGTGATACCAGCTTTTCATAGTTATTTACATTTCCTTTTTTGAAAAAGTTTTTATTGTTAAAATAATTCAGCATTGATACACACATATTGCGAATATACAAGCATACAAACATACATTTCATACAATCCTTAAAAATATTCAAACATACCTACACTCAGTCCCACAGATAATTCCTTTTCCCATCACCATCCACCACAATTTAGCACTTCTGCGCATGCACGACCTCCAAAACCCGGAAGTAACCCGTTCCAGTACTTCCGGGTTTCGGCGGTCCATAACCCCAAAAAATGCAACCTGAAGCAGCTGTAACCCGAGGTATGACTGTATTCCGAGCACTAAATACATTGTAACATAAAAGCAGAATAATGTTTCCATCCATTCTTTTTGACCCCTTACCATACCAGTGCATACCCTCCACAGTGATGGACTTTAGTGTTAAAGTTTTGCCTTTGCAATCAATGGGTCATGAGTTTGCACAAAAATACCTTCAAGCAAGCGCTTAAGGTTCTTTCAGACCATTTTTGTTTTGAAATTCCAAGGCAACGTGGAACCATTCCGACTTTTATTTATAAGCATAATCCATTAAACCCCACATTTTGGCATCCAGCGGTGTCAGCCTCTTGTGGCATCGAATATACAAGGAGAGAAGCAGTGACTAAAGAACAAAGCAAACCTAAAAGGAAAGGATTATATAGAAAAGAGAAGCAATTAAAAACATCTAAACCAGGGATTAAAAATGGCTGAGGACCAAATTCAAAGGCCCATTAAAGGTCCTGGAAGCCTTCCCATGCAGTCCTAGGGGTATAAAACATCGACAAGCCTTTTAAAGGAAGTTGAATTGCAATCCCTATAAGCAGTGCTATTTTTCAGCTGGAGTATGTCAGAGTACAGTTCCAGCACCTCTCAGGTGTGCACCATTGTAGGCCACCTCTCTTCTTG